CACCATAAATAAAATGTATTATTACAGTTCTAATGTGTACAAATATTGTAAACATTATTGAATTACCGAAATAAATAAGTAGTCTTTAAAACGAAAAGGAATACTTTTGAAGGCTCCCACTATCCAAATACCAGGGGAAAAGTATTTATCTGAACGTGGAAACATAATTTTTGCAAAATTTGAAGGGACTCAATAGTCCGGGGTCACAATAAATTATTTTCTCGAAAAACTAACTATATTCACATGGATTGTATGAAATGTGATTAATCTAATTATGAATCTGCATAGTTAGGATACAATTCAAATGTTCTTTATTTCAGACACTAAAAAAGACAAATACCAATATCCGTGTAACTTCCGAGCCACTTTTGTAAGTCACATATTAATTAAAAAATGCTTTTTTTAATTTCAGTGAGAATTGGCGGCGTTGTAAATTTATGCATTGGCAGCTCAATAATATCTCTGGTGGAAATATTATTACTAATAGCAAAAATCACAATTTTTTTCACACTGAAAGTATTTCGTGTGGTTTAAATAAAATAATAATAATAAATCAATATTTATTTCATGTACATATATCAAACAAATGCTATGGAATATATTGAAATAAATATTCTTGTCTCCTCCTGCGAAAGAATAAACATTTTTAATACACCATACAACTGTATATGCACAAAAATAAAGATTCTAAAGATTTTATGATGGTTTTTTTTTATGGTTTCAAAAACAAACTTACATTTTTGTGACAAAATCCTTTTATAATTTTTTTTTTTACTCATTATTTAAGATTTAAATAAACTTTATACTTACTGCCGTAATGTGGATGTGAATTGCATGTTCAATATATATTATTTTTGTATAAATCTCATCATACCCTCATACCCTTTGAACTAAAAGTAGAAAAATACACATATGTAAACGTATGTAAACTACGAATGTAAACTAAGACAGTATTAAAATGTAATACTGTCTTTATTTTTGCATCCTTTCTTAGTTAACCTATTCTATTTTCGATCCCTTTCACACAATGACTAATCTTACATCTCTCTTTCACACTCAAACGGTTACACTTCATCGTATATTAACTGCATAACAATTGACAGATAATATAAAAAATGTTTAGACAGATAATAATTATTCTCCTTACACATATTTTGATGAAAGATGCATTGTTATTTGAGGAAAGTAATGATTACTGTAACATCTACAGTACATGTTAAACAAAAACTGGAGGGTTTAGAAACAATTTGAAAGACCAAAATCTGAGAATATTAAACTATTGATACTACAAAGAAAGGCTGGGTGAAATCACTATTTTATATATTTACCTCTCTTTGGTGCAATGGACTTTTAGAAAGGTTTGCTTGTTTTATTTGTCAATCCAAACGCTACAAAACAACACTTCTTCCATATTTTTCCATATTAATATTGTCAAATCATTTTTGTGTCCATGATTTCCATAAAACCATTTCTGTTCTGAAAACGGTAAAACGTTCGCTTAATATTTATATACAACTATGAATGTATCTATACAAATAAAACCCGTAGACGAATGATATTGAGTTTGATGTTTCGAATAAAATCACCACCCAGCACGATTTTCATTATAATGAGAGGAATACGATGTGTCGCAGACCAATCAACACGATATCTTTTAGGAATGGAGATAAAACGACATTCCAATGTTTGGTCGGAGTTACCTCCAAAATTACAAGACTTCCGAGATAACGAAATACTGAATTTTAGAACATCCATGCATACCCTATAGAACAAGTAATAAAATCTCCAAATTCGATCACAAAAACTTACCATTAAAACAAAACGCGTTCAATACGGGCGAGGAACGCATTGGCCTCAAGATATCCCTTCTTCAAAGTTCAAACTTGGACGACGAATGAAGATGCACCAACACTTATACTTTACCAACATTTCAACTTGCAATGATTTTTATTTGTTCTAGTTATTCAAACGGAATTTATATGTTACGCAAATAATGCCTACAATAAGCAACTTGATAAGCACTTGTTCAATTCTTCCTATTTTTTCCTATCAGTTGTAGGTGACAACATTTGTCCATGATATGTTAGAAAAGCAGTAAAATATGAAATACGAGATATAAGTGACATTTCTCACATTGGAAAGTAATTTGTGTAGTTTGGAATAGTAATTCAACATTTTGCCACCTAAGCCAGAAAATTCAATCTAGTTCAATCGCCCCGAAAATTTCTTTCTCACTTATTCCACCCAAGACAGTCATCATTCTGATTTAGAAATGATTTCCCACATGCAATTATGGCAAATGTGAAAGGTGATGAAAACACAAACAATGCTTTTCGACTAACTAGACACTAAATTGTAGCTTGAATCTGCGTACCAAGTGTTCTGTGTAGTCCCATCCTTGATCATAATATATTCGGAGGTAAACCTATTAAAATGAACATGTATAAAGGCTACTAAATACTTATGATTCGTCAATTTTAATCAACCATAATGTAGCCATAACCATGGCTTAATAACAATTATTGTCAAGAAAATAGGTTGAAATAGCATATCATAACAAAAGTCCAAAACATTGATGGTCAATTAAAATTAGAACAAAAAATAATTAAAATCTCAATGTATTTTATTAGTCCAACTTTATTAATGTATTAAACGACCCCATTTTCGAAAGCCATATCCAGCTTGTAGAATACACGACATAAAAACATTTAGCGACCTTGATTGCTCATCAAGACAATCACTAATTAAATTAAAAGCATTAAACCTAGTATCTGTTACACCATAAAATACCTACACAATATTGTTAATGGAATAAAATGAGTTATCGTGGCTATTATAAAAAAATGACTCATTTATTAGACCAGCAGACGTACACAGAAATCATGAGACTTAAACTAAACTAACCTAAATACATTTGTCAAGTTAAAAGCCTATGGAAAGAGAATTACTAGGGGAAAAAATGGAACATTTTACGCAGCAGATGTAAGACGATGATGACAAGCTGTTTTCGACCAAGAGACCAACTTCAATACCACATTCCTGAAAACACAAAAACAATTTATTTTATCGACCTTACTACAAAAACGACGTTTCATTACGTCAACAGACAGACTGTTTATGAAATAATTAATATCAAACATTTGAGACGCATATCAACCACATTGCATGAGACTCTTGTAAACTTAATGAAAATCTTTTCGAAATAGCATGGATACGGTGACCTGGGTATTAAAACATAGTCCAAGAGATATAACGGAAACAAGGGTCGAAGATGATTACAATCACAAACAAATCGTTATACTTATACTCTCTCATAGCCACATTCCATTTTTTCTCATAGGCATATCCCGTTATTTAGCCCCACCCACAACTTATTCTAACTCTATTACCAAAAAATTCCATCACTTTCTCATCCTCACATTCCATTATTTTCGCACAGCCACATAACTTCCTTATATGAACGTCTCATTATTTTCTCATTGGAATTCATACTATCCAAAAAAAAACGCAAAATGTGAATTATGATGTAAAATAATTTTATAATATAAATATCAATAATTGTTGTATCTCACAGACGTAATGTTTGAACAGGCCGTCTCAACAGCGACGTTATCAAGAGCGCGAAAAAAGATGTGATGATCCAAGTTTGCATCGTCACACTACATACGACCCAATTATAGTTTCTCATTATATAGGCCATGTTAATATCAAAATGGATGATGATTTATGAGTGAAAACTCGGAAATTTTCCATGTATGCAGTGTGACCGCACCAACATAGACTAAACGCACTGGACTTACAACATTGTTTTGATAATAGAAGGTTCTGTCATTGTTGTCCAATTATAAATATATGGGAAAGGAAAATCACCCTCAATTTATCGTATAATCTGTTCTGTCATCAAAATATATGTCACCGTACCAATTCCATTTGAAAAAGATTATAAAATAAAAATAAGTGTGAAAATATACGCAAAATTGCAGTTTTACGGAACCGAAGTCATTTATTCAGCCGAAAGAAACAAGAAATTGAAATACAAATAATATTTTAAAAAATAATATGAATGCAAGGAATAAGATTAAATAATAATAAAATTTATGAAGTTTAATTTATAAAACGCATTAACGATCATGATTTAAGAGCCTCACAATAAAACACGGAAGTATTGATATATACCTAATAGATATAAAACCGAATTTCCAAGGCAAAGTCCACATATATAAGGTAAGTCTTCAAAAGAAGCCAAGTAATTTATGAAAAATAGTTTGGAATACGTAGTATTATGTTAAATAAACAATGCAAATACTTAAACTGGTTATTTAACATAAAATATAGAAAACCAAAATATTTAGACCCTATCTTTCTAACAAGAAGTAAACCATCTGAAGCAAAATATTGAAACAATAGACAAGGCTAGATTCCTATAATTTCCTATTAAATTGACAACCTAAAGAAACGAAGCCCAAGTTGATAGAGAACTTTATGTGCCCACGACATTATGTTAAAATTTTATATGAATATTACGTACCTTTATTTCTTCTGTCAGAAAAATCTAACGTCTATGGTCCTGCCGTCAATACGGGTCCTGTCAAACATTTCTGAACAATATGTTGAGGAAATTATAAAAGTCAAAAATATATGTATTTTAGTCTAGCGATTTACATTTTTAATTTATTAACGTCGATGTTGACATAATTGTAAAAGATAAATCAATGAAAAATAAATTTTTCAAACTGTTATGTGGCCTCCTAATAAATTTAGTCATTTTTACATGCCCACATATCAAGTCGGGAGAGCCCTGGTATAAGTTTTTATTATCAGGTTATTTTTGTCATTTATCAAGTGTATTTGTATCAATAAATCAATATGCATCAACATTTAATTACCTAATTGATTGGTTTAGTTTTCTACCCATTATAATTCTTACATAAATTATAATTTTAATATAATATTTAAGTCCAATGTTATTAACATCATTTCGATTTAATATTCTTTGTTTTTTAAAGGATACTGACAGCTCTCTCAGCATCCCACTCCTTATGGAATCTCACTATAGCTGTATCAGGTGCCGTCATCTCAGCATACTTCACATCTCCACACTCACTGAACTTCTCTCTTATTAGTTGCCATGTCACTGTTGGTGGAAGCTGAAAAGTAAACACATACATAAGCCACATTCAAAATAATGATACAATTATATTAATTCTAGTAATTTAACTACTTAATTCAACCTTGAACAGTCATTAATATGTTTCAATACAACATCAAATAAGAAGCTTTATCTTTGCTAATCATCATCTCAGAATGAGAGTAAGGATACTTACATTAGTAATAATGACAATATCTGATTGTTTATCTCTCCCCTGTTGTCCATCACGGCCATAGCCTTGTCCCGGAACTGTCACACTGCCCATCTGACGATTAGTCCCTGATAATATAATAAAATATATCATAATTTATACATAGAAACATCTCTTTACAATATCCATTCCCTTTCCCTGTAACATAGATGCTGAAATAGGTAAATATATATTTTTTAATATGCTCTATTACGCATTTTTATAAAATCCCTTAGTTGCAAGTATGAATCATACTTATGTTTTCGATTATTATTAATATAGTTATAAATTGCATGCATTTATAACTATGAATACCTGAAAGTGACCCACTACTTAAAGAGGAATTTGCGCCCAGAACGTTGTTGCCCAAGCCTGAATTTCCGAGGACACTACTACCCATATCTGGGGTACCCAGGGATAAGTTGTTGGAGTTAACATTAGCAGCTTGAGCCTGTGTAAGTACTGTGGCTAGATCATTTGCAGTGAGACCTTGTTGAAGAAGCTGATTTTGTAAGGCACCAAGACCAGTCAGTCCTAAGGCCTGAAAAGAACAATCAATAATAAACTCATGTAAGAAAAGCAGTTTTCTTATTAAACACAACATGAAGTCATGAATTTTTATATGATTACTGATTCTAACCTGTAAGCCTAGACTGTTACTAAGAGCAGCATTGGTTCCCAAAGTATTAGCTGACAGGCTTGCTCCGAGACCATTTAATCCCACCCCAGCAGTGGGAACCGCACCTAAAACTCCAGCACCTATCGTAGAGCCTGTACTGCCAAGACTCAAGTTATTTGTGGATGTATTCTGAGGTAGGTTTCTTGCTACATCTCTGAGAGGTTCCCCATTTGGTCCCAATCCTATACCAATGCTTTTCAAACCTTCTGGCAATCTCAGCTCAGATTTGTCAGTAACTCCCCTATCCATTCTTACTGTCATTCTACGCTCATATAACATTTGTTTGTCAAACATAGAAATTGCCTGGAAAAGATAAATTAAACTATATATATAAAATACTTACAATGTTTTAAATAGAGTTGAGAATCATTAAGACAATAGTATAAAAATAAGTATGTTTTAAATTAACTTCCACTACCTGTACAGCTTCTACGGGATGATCATATTCAATAACAGCAAAACCTCTACTGTTTCCATCTTTATCAATAGCTAAATCAATGTTTCTAACTTTACCGGCCATTTTAAATACTTCCTTAATTTTAGCTCTATCTGCTTTATAGTCCAGCTGAAAAAATAATCTTATTGTAACATCCCAAGAAAATTTAATTCCATTCATACATTAATATATATTATACTTACATTTGCAACAAAAACTTTTTTAACTAAAGGCGGCTGCACATTTATGGATTCTAAGAACTGTAGACTTAAACCATAAGTATTGAAATTTTCTGGTTCCCTTGGCTTGTTAACTCCCCATCTATTATGAAAAAACACATATAATGCTTAATTAAATTGTCTCCTAATATATTTATATGACAGAAAATTGTGAAATTTAATATGCGTACCCATCTTTATCTTCTCTCATATTTCTACCACCACCACCACCTCCAGATCTGACAGAGTTTAATCTGTTTCTTTCATTACCTAAAAGATAATCTACATTTAATGTGTTTATTAATGAAGTAAGAATAGTAATTAAAATAACTTGCTATAACTAAATTATACATCTAACGTTAAACTGACATTCTTAAAATAATTAAGTTAATTCCAACATATCTAATAAAATTATTCCCACCTGTTTCTTCTTTTAAAACAAGCTTCCTTCCATTCAATTCATATCTATGCATTACAAAAAGTGCCTTTTTCATAGCTTCAGAATTTGAGAATTCCACAACACCACATCCTCTTGGTTTTCCATTCTCATCATTAAAGAGTTCAACATAGGCTACATCACCAACCTACAGACAAGATTTTTAAGAGGTTAATTGGTATTTAATAAAGAATAAGATATGTATAAATTCCTTTGACATGCTATGCCATATAATACAATAGGATGAATACCTTCTCTTTGAATAAGTCTTTTAGTTCTGTCCAGCGAAATTCATAAGGTATGTTGGAAACAAACAAACGTTTCCCCTCCGATCTATCACGGTCGTTGGAACGATCTCTTGGTGCATCTGAGAACCTTGAGGGTCTATCGCCTCGTCTGGACCGGTCCCTCTCCTTCTCTCTTTGGCTGTCCATAGTCTACATGTAAAAACATTATCAAACCCATTTCAACATTCACTAATTACGTATCTAACCGGTAAACAACCGTAATATGAAGGCCGAAGGATCTTACACAATAAGAAGATAAATGAATGTATTTACCTTATAACGAATATATAAATTGCACAGAACTAAACTTAATTGAAGCTAAATTTTAGCAAATAACTACAGTTTCGCGCGAAAAGGTTTATCCCACTAAAGTATTTTCAAAACAAGATGGCGAACTATCGATATCATGAGGTTAATATCTCATGATAGATTATATTCTTATTGGTAAAAGTGGAATAATACATTATGAATAACAATAAGAAAATTTTTTTTTTTTGTTAAAGAAGGCATTTTTTTTAATAAATTTTTCTTTTAAACCAAAACGTTTCCCAGATTGTGTTTCACAATCAATACCTTACTAGATAGGATAAACTTTTGCTCTATCACATTCTCTTAAAAATTTAAAAATATATGATTTCTTTAAATGCCCATTTAAAACTCTTTTATGTAAATAGTGTTTTAGAAAATGAAAATTTTATTCTATATTTTATTTATCTACGGTATTTTATCGATACAGTCTCTTCCTTATTGAAATCCCTATGACAAACACGACTTTACAGTTCACAAGCAATGCAGCAACGCACACATCCATGATATTTACTTGTATCCATATACATTATTTTATCTGTGATTGTATTGCTTATGTATATTTTCGCCTACGATAGCCATGCAGGCGAACTCCGCTATATTTTTATTAAATTAAATAGTTTTAAAATATACTTAATATGGAACAGACTAAAGTTAATACGCCTAGGCTTTTTATGTGCACCGCTATAGAAAACAAGGATGAAATAGAAGAGGTATTGAGAACATTTTCGCAATTTTAACAAAGAATCATTTAGTCGGCCATGTAAAATTAAGTTTTTCTTATTGTGACGATGGTGGCGCTAGTGCTTCTAGGCGCGAATATTTAAGTTTTGGTAAATTTGTAAGAGTGTAAACCTTTTTTTCATAAATTCTTCTTATATTTCAGAGATATGAAAGAGCTTATAATTTTTTTCAATCTCTTGTGGCGGACTGCAGTGAAAAGGAAGCTCACGATGCACTTAATAATGCCGTTTGTAAAAATCACGAAGACGTATCATTGGGGATGCTCATGTCCATTCTTACTGAACCTCACAATGCCACCAAGTGTTACAGAGACCTTACACTGATCACGAGGGATGGGTTAAACTCCGTACTTAACAACCTGTCCACTTTAATCCTAGAAAGGTATTTAAAATTCCAGGACATGACCCGTAATCAATTGTTATGGCTTGTGAAAGAAATGATAAGAAATGCAGTAACTGGTGTTGATAGTGTTTGTTGGAACTTAATGCGTTATGCCTCAGGAGGTGACATCACACCTAAAAATATTATATTAGTTGAATCTCTTTTAGATATTTATATTGACAATCGAATGTGGCTAGATAAATTTCCAGTTCTTGTTTGTATGGTAGTGTACACTTATTTGAGATTAATTGAAGATCATAACATACCACAGTTAATGGCACTAAGGCAGAAAGAAGTAAATTTTGTTATAGCTCTTATACGGGAGCATTTTAATGAGGTTCTAACTCTTGGTAGAGATTTAGTGAGACTGTTACAGAATGTGGCTCGTATTCCTGAATTTAACCAATTGTGGCAAGATATTTTAATGAATCCTAAATCTTTATCACCAACATTTACGAATGTTATGCAACTTCTGCAAATCAGAACATCAAGAAGGTACTTACAATCAAGATTAACCCCAGACATGGAACGGAAATTGGTCTTTCTAACGTCACAAGTCAGATTTGGTCACCATAAAAAATATCAGGAGTGGTTTCAACGGCAATATCTTGCTACTCCAGAATCTCAGTCGCTAAGGAGTGATATGATTCGATTTATTGTAGGTGTAATACACCCTACTAATGAATTACTTTGCTCTGATATTATTCCAAGATGGGCGGTTATTGGATGGCTATTAACAACTTGTACATCAAATGTGGCTGCATCAAATGCTAAGTTGGCCCTTTTCTATGATTGGCTATTCTATGACCCTGAAAAAGACAATATAATGAACATAGAGCCGGCTATACTAGTGATGCACCATTCAATGAGATCACATCCAGCGGTAACAGCAACATTACTAGATTTTCTTTGCCGTGTCATCCCAAATTTCTATCCCCCGTTTGCTGATAAAGTCAAACAAGGCATCTTCAACTCTTTACAGCAAATAATTGAAAAAAGAGTATTACCAAATTTACAGCCATTATTTGATTCTCCAAAATTAGACAGAGAATTGCGCACAACAGTTAGAGAAACATTTAAAGAGTTCTGTAGCAATGGAAATGGGGAGGGCGTATCAGGGATTCGTGACGAAGGAAATGATGATTTACCAAGAGGTGGTCCAGATGAGCCAGCTTTTTCTGACGATGAAGATGACATGCTTCCAACTATAGCTGAAGACACCGATGACGATGATTTGCCATTATCAGAAGTTCGCGCCAGGGAACGGCCCGAGTTGGCCGCCGCTATGCCACTATTGTTACGACCTTTTGCTGAAACATTACTAGACGAACGTTCGTCCACTGCCGCTACTGCGTTACTAAACGCCTGCAGCAGCCCCATGCCAACAGCAACGGCATTAGCTGATTTATTCGCTGCTACACTGCAAGAAGCACCGCCCTTACACATCAATCGCAATCCTACGCCAGCTGAACTAGACACTGTAATGAACTCTCCAATATTTTCCATGTTCAACTATCTCGTTGGAAGCAATGATAGCAATGAAGCTAAACGTAAACTAGTATTAGAAACATTCAAAGAAATATATGCACAGAGTTCCGTACATAGTGTAGGTTACTGTTTACTATTTTATCTTAAAGTATGTTATGAAAGAGAGCGGCGTGCAGAGAAAGATCCGGTTAAAAAGAGGAATGTTAAGTTTAAAGTGGAAGTATATAAAGAGTATTGTAGTTTCTTAGAATTAAAACTTGCTGAGAGCTTAGCTGATGATTTTGAGAGGTGCCAAGAATGTGATGCGAATGTACTTGTATGGTTAATACCAGATGTATATAGAGAGTTTAAAGATCAAGTCCAAAATCACATCAGACTACTGCACATAATTGTTTCTACATTAGATGCAGGACAATTGCAGCGCCTCGTGTGTCTGACGTTACAAGGCAACTTGATGATGTTCAAATCTGATGATATAACAACCATGCTCTCAACAAGTCTCGGTTGGGAGACCTTTGAACAGTATTGTCTGTGGCAACTACTGACTGCACATGAAATTTCAGTAGAAGACGTGTTGCCAATTATACCTAAACTTTCATATAAAGATCACGCGGAGGCACTGACATCAGTCCTATTAATGCTAAAACAAGAACGGCCCACAGCAGATGTGGTCCGGCAAATGTTTTGTAGGACAGTTGATGATGAGGATACATTTGTAGTCTCTACAGTAATGTACTGGTGTCAGGACTATGAGGATAAAGTTGCAGATTTGCTTGCTGTGCTTCTAAGCACTAGGTATCCAGGGACTAGCCCAAATAAAAGAAAACGACCTGGTAAACATAACATTCCACCAAACGCGCCGCCTTCAGCAGAACTAGTAAGTTTAAGGCCTCGGCCTCGAATTTTGCGGGCAGCGGAGCGGCAGCGGCGGCGGCACGAAAACGCATACATTTCCCCAAAATAGCGGGCAGCGGGCACCGCTGTATTCGAGGGTCGGTCCATTTGATTATACGCGTATGATCTTGCCGCTCCCGCTCCCGCTCCGCTGCCCGCAAAATTCGAGGCCGAGGCCTAACAAAATAACTAATATATATTAATAATAGAGAAAAGTTCATTGAAAACTACATTTTATTTTTATTATAAAAAACAATTTATTTTTCCAGGTTTTAGGTCACTTAGAGCAAATAAGAGTATGTTGTGTTGAACAAGATGATATGTCAATTTTTAATATGGAGTGTTTGCAGAAAGCCTTACAACAATCACAGTCAAATAGTAGTGATAGTTTAAAGGTAAACATTAATAATATAAATGATCAAGTTGAAATAAGTAATTATTGACACAAATTACTATCGGATTCTTATCAGATAAAGTCTTGATCCCAGTAGGACAATCTAATTGAAACATATTTTTGCTTTCAGAGACAATATGGTGATTTATTTTCATTAGCTTGGGAAGATGAACTTCCAATATCAAGAAGAGCAAGGAAAATGGTTTCAAATTCACTACCTATGAATCCTAACTTACATTCATCTAATGAAGATAGTGAGGTAGAGACTTAAAAATCCCTTATTAGTTTCGATTTCTGTTGAATATACCATTTAAAATTTATAGCCTTTAATTAGAGGTTTAAAAAAATGATTTTTTTCTTTTATGTTTGCAGGAAGAGGAAATTGTTAAACCCAAGCAAGCAAAACGAAGAAAGAAGGCAATTTCTGACAGTGATTGACATATCTCATCTAAAAAGTATGATAATTTTAAACACCAAAGTGCAACTCAACAATACAATAAATAATATGTGCAAACATATAACATACCTAATAAAATATTATTTGTTACCATATGTGTTTTCAAATGAAATATATAATATTACCGTGTAATATTATTGTTGAAATTATATTTTTTGCTGCAAAAGTGTTATATTAGCTTTTAAATGTATTGTACTTTTATCGGTTGCACCTTTTCAAAAAAGATTGAAGTTTTGTTTATTTTTTTTATCTTAAACTGTTAAATAATTATAACATAGTTTCATCACTATATGAATTGCACAACTTTCTAGGATTCCGGTGATGGCCAATATTATTTTAAATATTTCTTCATTGTAAATTTTGTCTGTAGAAATTGTATAAATACCATATTGTTATACTTTTTTATCCATACATACTATGTTGGACTTATTTTAAATGTAAGGTATGAGACCAAGAATTATATTCAAAAGATATATTGTATTAATGCAATTTTCGAAATACATTTTACACTAGGATCAATAAAGTATTTCCCCTATATTACTTTATTTCATTTAAAAACTCAGATCAATAAAACAATAAGAATATTGTTATTTAATTATTATTTAATAGTCCTATAAAATCTTTCGAACATGTCTTTTAAATTCAACAAAACATTATACTTATACCAAATTTGGTTATATAAATTCAAATGGAATAAAAAGTATACATAAGTTAAACATTAAAAAATGCTTTTATATCTAACAAATACATCTAAATAATTTATTTACACAATACAATAAGAGAAATGTTGGAAATGACTAAAGTTTTCCTTGCTTGTATCTTTGTCTAGCTTGAGCTTTGCTATATTTATTTTTCTTTTCCGGTACTGTTTGTTCATGTTCCTCACAAGAATGAGAAGCTGAAAGTAAAATAATATTTCAGTAACAATGATCCTAACTTGATAATTTTAACTATTTTATATGTTCTTTATTAACCACTACATTTTTACAGATTAAACTGTTACAATTGTTATAAAATTATAATATTAACTATGTTTAATATAATAATAATAAAGTAAAGAAAATTAAAACGATATGTACCTAGATCTGGTGGTGGTTGTATGGATTTCCCGGCTCCTAGAGCAGACATCATAGTCGCAGTCTTCCCAAGAACCCAACCCACTCCTGCCAAAGCCATTGAAAACGCCACCATGCTAAATGGATGCTGTAATACAAAAGATATACTTACAATCTCTAGAAATACCAACTATTGGCCCTTAGTTGTAATGATTATGTTTTATTAGCTGATAAAATTTATCAATTCAATAGTAAAAGTAGCATTAGTTACTCATTATATTTTTAATCTACCAGTTAATACCTCCTTTTGAAATCAATTTAGCTATATCAGAGATAAGCCAGAACAAACAGATAGATTAATAAAAATGGTAAAAAATATTTTACTATAATAAGTACTATGTAGTCTTAAACTTACTGATAATGTTGGTTTTTCAGTCAAGGTATAATCCAATATAACAACAATTATACCAATAATGAAACCCACACAAGTGCTCAACCATATAACATTATGTGAACCTGAAAAATATTTAGTTGCATGAGAAATTTTTTATAAAATATCTCGAGTATAAAGTGTCAATTTATATATAACTAGCTTTCCGCCCGCAGCTTCGTCCGCATGGAGTTCAGTTATATTGTGTTTCCAAGAGAACCTTTCAAAAGTGTGGGATAAAAACTATCCTATGTTCTTTCTCAAGGTCAACTCTAACTCTGTACCAAATTTCATTAAAGTGGTTTAGGCGTGAAAGCGTAACAGACAGACAGACAGAGGTACTTTCGCATTTATAATATTAGTAGGGATAAACTTACTTTTAATTTTATTTTGTTGAATTTTAGTAATATTTTTTATAGATTCCATCAATTTTGTATTATGAGGTTCAAGTCGTAGAGCCCTGGTGTATGATATTATTGCTTCATCATATAGTTCACTAGCAGCTTCAACCTCTCCACGACGAAAATATCCCTGCCAATTAACATTTAAAAAAATGATATACACTACATCTATAATAGTACTTACTGCCTAAAAATATGCATATACCTAATACCATAATGACTATTTTAATTTATAAAAGACTATACTTAAGCATGCCAACATTCTTACTGATCACTTTTATACCAAAATTCTTTGAGACTAGGGTTCAATCCCAATTACTCAAAGAAATCTATAAGCATTTTATTAGTTCTTACATTATGTATTATAGAAACAGAGCCAGAGTATAAGTGAAAAATATCATGTATATGTAAACCTAAATAGTGTACTAAAAAAATTAAATTTCATCATTACCTTTGCCCATTGGGGCTGAAGCCTGACCGTTTCATTTGCATCTTGTAATGATAAATAATGTTGACCTAATTTCAGGAATGCAAAAGACCTGTTGCTGTATAAAACATAATTTTGAGGGTCCATTTTAATTGCATGGGTATAATGTAATACAGCTTCAATAAATTTTCCATCTTTAACACATTCATTGCCCTTATTTTTATAATCCTCAACACTGAAGTTTTGTGTATTTTTCTTTGAATCGTCCATATTAAACAAACGTGATTGTTTATTGATTAATATTTCCTTTTACTAAATATCTTGTCTGTATTTATAAAATATGACAAATAATTGAATTTAAAAATTCAGTATTCAAGGATTCAGCTCCATATTTTAAACCAAATCAAATAAGACAATTATTGATATGACAACTGTCAAGTGATAAGACAATAGAGATAGAAATTTATAAATTTTTGGTAGGTGACTATGTAGTTTTTCTCTTCTTTCTAAAATATCTCTTTTAGTTACTATATATTAAAGCGTAATTAAGGTATTTTTGTTATGCTTACTATCTTATATACTGTCTAACCTAAATACTAAAAATAACGTTTAGGAAATAAAAAGTTAATACTAAAAAATTTATGTTTCTTGATATTTCTTATTGGTTTTGAAAACTTATTTCATTATTTAGAAAGATTGTCTTAACAAAAATATGAGGAGCCATTATAAGAAAGAAAATTTCTTAAAAACATTTCAAATGTTAACTTTATTACAATAAATATTCTTTTAAGAATTAAGTTATCTCTTTGATTAACTCAACACCTGTTGAATTAGACAAAATACACTCACGGTTTCTGTCTTTACAATATTATAATAAAACAGGTAGGTCAGTTAACACAAATGGTTTTTACTGGTTAATATTTATTTTTTTAATAATCTAATCCATAATCTATAATTGAGAAAAAAAAATCTAATAAAGTCTGTTTAATGTAGCTCCCGTCATAATATTATTAATACTCAATACATGTACTAAGCGACAGTCAGAGAAAAATTTGACAGCTGACGACTTGTTTTTTTTAATCTTTAATTATAGCTGAATGTAATCCGGGACTTTTTACGAGAACTAAGAATTAAGTTACAAATCATATCTAAGAAATGGGTATCAAAGAAGCTGTTATTTACTTGGACAACCAATGGAATACTTATTATGCTGGTCAAACAGTTAATGGAAGAATAGAATACGTATTTGATAGTCCAAAAAAAGTTAGAGGTATGTAACCGCCTATTTATTAAAAACGATTACTGCATACTATGAGTCATACTTTGTGAACATAGTCAAGCAATAGAACGGTAATTTTTTTATTGTATGTTATTCTTTATGTTATACTTTAGGGATACATGTAAAAATTAAGGGCGAAGCTCACACTGAGTGGAGTGAAAGTAAGGAAGAACAAGATGCAGAAGGTAAAACGCAATCTACAGATACTCTTCACACTGGGAATGAAGAGTACTTCCAAATATCATACTATTTACTTGGAAGTAATACAGGTATTTAATAAAATTTAAATAAAGTTTGAAATATAAATAATCCTTTGAAACAATGATGAATCAATAAAAATATACCTAAGAAACATGTTCATATTGTTTATAAAATTTCATAGACATTTTATAGATACAACTTTTCTTTTTACAACTTTTCAAAGGTAACTAAATATCTGTTGACAATTATTCTTACTAAGATGTCAATGATCAAAATAAGATTTTAAGTATTATCTCTGTGAAAACTCTGTCTCTATACTTTCTCTTTAATAAATGTGATTGTTTTTAGGTAATGAGATAGAAATACCAGCTGGAAAACAAGTATATAATTTCACTTGTACTTTACCACCGGTGCTGCCATCGTCCTTTGAAGGTCAACATGGTTACATCAGATACACAATAAAGGTTACATTAGATAGGCCATGGAAATTTGATCAAGAAACAAAAATGGCATTTACAGTTATTAACGCATTGGATTTGAATCTCAATCCTTCTTATCGGGTATTTTTAGATATATATAGTGTTATTTTCTGTAATTTGTATGAGAATCATTTAATATCTGACTGTAAATTTACTTTTAAAGGAACCTATACACTTCCAAATGGAGAAGACGTTCTGTTGCTTCTGTTGTGCGTCCCCACCTTTATGTGTTGATGTGAGAGCTCCTGTTTCTGGTTATTGCCCTGGTCAAGTTATACCTTTGACTATAGATATTGAAAACAAGAGTAATGTTCAACTACATTTGGTGAAAATATTTTTGAGAAAGGTATTTACGTCTTCTTATGAATTGATTGTGATATGATTATACCTGTAGATTATACTGAATCAAAGATTTCACATATTTATTTAAATTCAGGTGGTGAATTATAGGGCAACCTCTCCGAGCACTTCAACACGAAAGACAAAAGATGTTATTCTAACAGTTCAAGAAGGTCCTGCTCCGGCAGGTACAACGAAGCATTGGACTTTGACAATGGAAATACCTCCGATACCACCATCTAACTTAGTAAACTGTAACATCATTGATTTAGATTACGATTTAAAGGTAAGAATAGTCATAACCTTGGATGTTTGTTGAACGTCAACAATTCATGACAACAATGTGTAGTGATTGTTGATAATTTATTACCATATTTTTCAAGTACGTTTGGGGACATTTGAGTATTATGAGACATAATTTTTGACACCTTTCACATAATGACACTAGTATCTAGTGCTCCTGTGGAAATGCTGACAGGCAAAATGAAATTATAGTGACTTTAATTGTATTCTAAAAAATCCCTATAAAATATGAACAAAATGATTTAATGAGAATGGCTATATTCTATTTACAAACACTTTACTTGAATTGGAAGCTGAAATGTCAGCATCTATGAATAATTTTATAAAAATAGGGCTATTTTAAAATTGAATTTACATTTTCAAAATAACATTTACTTAAATAATAACATAAAAACCAGTTCTTTTACCTAAGTTTCACACTTACTAATGAAGTGTGAAGAACACAAAACTGATACCTTATGTCATATATGTTTAGATCAGGCAAATATTTTTCATGTCTCCACAAAGTTGTGGACAAAAACTATTAATAAAATATAAGGTTATCAGCAATAATAAAGTCAAAACTATTTTAAGTCAAAATATTTTATTCCACTAGAGTAATTTCTTTATATTCCATATAACAAGGCTTCCCTTTATCTCTGTCTTCTTGACAATTATCAAATTATTTTTAGTTTCAATAATGTAGCCAAAACACTTCCAGGTGGAATGTGTTGTTTCTGGAATGCATTTTAATATGAAGGATCGCAAGTATATCACCATTGGAACAGTGCCATTGGTTAATGCTGGTCAACCCATCCCATCCCCATCTGCGCCAATGCAGCCAAGCAATGATGCAAGTCAACCGGCTGTTCTGCCGGTAGGGCCAGGCGAACCTGCAGTGCCTTCTAATGTGAGTATTATTTACATCCAGATATTTGGTGGCAAGGTCTTTTGATGCTTAATCAGTACTAGTATTTTTGGTCCGAACTGTCACTTCACTCTTTGTGACATGTTTATTTTTATACTGTTCTAGCCAATTTTGTGTAATTTATTGGTTTTCCATTGCCCTATGCATAGAGTTTCATATGTGTGTTGAGAATTAATAATTTAAAATTGAACCTAAAGTAACCAATGAGGATCTTCCATATCCCATAACTTTTTAATAGGATTTTTGTTCTCGTATTGTTTAGCCTTATCTATACTAATATTATAAAGCTGAAGAGTTTGTTTGTTTGTTTGTTTGAAAGCGCTAACCTCCGAAACTACTGGTTCGAATTGAATAATTCTTTTTGTGTTGGATAGTCCAGTTATCGAGGAAGGCTGTAGGCTATATAACATCACGCTACGACCAATAGGAGCAAAGATATAGTGGTAAATGTGTAAAAAACGGGAGAAATTATTTCATCTTTGAAGCCTTCCGTTGCGTGCGCCGTGAAAACGGTTCAAGGTACACAAAAAATATGTGTTAAAGAACAATAGCTCTTTTAATGATCTAAAAAACAGTTCGCGACAGTATATGTCTATCTTTTAAGATGAACTCACAAAAACCGTTTTTATGGTACCTAATTTGGTCGAAATAATTTGTTTAAGTTGTATCAACATAATAATATTAATCTTTATTCAAATAAACAAATAAATATGTTGTTGGTTAAGAGTACTTCATTGTGAATAAAAAAAAAACATAGGTTTTATTCTGAAAATTCTACGGGAATTCAACCATTCCGAAAACCCCGAAAGAACGGGAACTATGTGGGAAGAACCAAAAATCTGCCGGAAGTCACTATTCCAGGCGGACGAAGTCGCGGCAAAAGCTAGTATAAAATATAATTGCTAAATTAACAAAACAGTCTTTTTTAAATACGGTTTGAATTAGTTCAGCTTACAATAAATTTTTTCGAAAGGATTTTTTATTTATTAAATTAATATACAGGTGCCAAGTGGTGACGTCGCCCCAGGAGGCTGGGTGGTTCCAGGTGAACCAGCTCAACCACCATACCAATCTTTGTATCCTTCGCTTTGTAAGTATTAAAAATAGGTATATATCAGCCATTATAAAACGATACCTGATAAATAATTTTATAAATCTTATACATAAGCATTCATTGAACGGAACAATTCTAATTTTGAGTCTAATATTTTTATTATAAACTGTATATTTAATATTTCTTCACAGCCCAACCGGTGTACAAAGAATCTCAGTATGCCGCTCGGACGATCCAAGATAGAGGTGAAAGCAAAAACATGGCTATAACCGGAGCTGCCAATTTCGCGCCATATTATCCTACGTACGCCTGGCAACCGCCGCCATTACCGCAGTAAACAGATTATAAAATAGATATGACTCATGAATGACTTTTAAATTCAGTAGATGCTATTTGCAAATATGAATCCGTATGCTTTCAAATTTGATGAAAAATTTAAATGTTATTTTGCTATTAACCGCAAATATGTTTGCATTATTGTTTGATTATATTTATGTTTTGTTGATTGTTAAAAACAACTATTGAATAATGTTAGAGAATAAAAATATTTTTTTTATTAGCATTTATCGGAAGCCTACACCATTCTGTTATATTTTATACTTATTTTTGTGTAACAATTTTGTAACCTAACCACAGTGAAGACTATAGATGTGTCCATTTACCTAAGTATAATAAATTTGAAGCATTTATTGCGTAAGAGCTTTATGTGATGTTAAATTTGCACAAATAGTGCCAGTTAACAATGTGTGTCAAATGATATTAATTATAATGTATTAAAAGTAGTAAAAGCGGCCATACGATTGAATCTCGATGCTTCTATAATGGCTTTAAATGTTGAAAATATTTCGAAATGTATTGTGCTTATGGTGTAGAGAATCTCCAAGACTTGTCGATTTCCTTTAGCTTTAAGATATTACTAACAAAGACGAGCTTTTGTAACTTATTAATGATCTTATTATCGTATTAATTTTTTTATATTTTTAGATGTTTAGAAAATAATATCGCACATGTATAAGTTTATAGGAATACAGCAAGACTTTTTATATTGTTTTTTACCTTATATTCGTTTAGAATATATAAGCTAAACTATTTTCATTTAAGTAACTTGACCCGATTTGTGTTTACTATTACTATACAATGATTAAAATTACAAACAAGACATGTATAACGCATTTTAAACCACTATTCCGTGGCAGTTCAGTTTATAATGTAAGCTTGATTGTTATATATTTACTACGATTATATAAGGGTACAGAACTACATATAGTTATTTTTTATTGTTTATCTTATTTATCGATTAACACAGAATGTATGTATCATTATTACCTTTTATATTTTGTTTATTAATAAACTGTTACGTTATATTGTAAAAGTTTTATTGTATCAAATGGGTTTAATTAAAACAAAACATATAAATGAAAGTCTTTATTGATTTTCCTTCACGTTAACAATTGTCACGTTTTGAGCATTTTAGTGCATAAAGGTTGTCCAAGAATTTATATATTATACTCATTTATAAAAAGAATAAATTTTTCTTACAAACGTTTCGTCCTTCGATCTTATCAATTTCTCAAACAGATATAATTTGAGTCAAAAACTATAAGTGTCATGTTACGATTTCTAGTACAATTGTGTAATATTTTTTAAAAACAAAATCAAAATATTGCATCAATATTTTAACACTACAGTTAGTAAAATATATATTCCTTAGTAACAATCAAGTGTTATAAACATATTTATATTTATACAACTTTCGTATTGTCATAGAAAAGTAAAAGTACTTTGAAAATGTACATAAGTTCATGCTATTGTATATTTTTTTAATTATGTTTAAATGAAGGAAAAACAATAAGGTATTTATTGCTGACACAATATTGTCTAATACAGAGCATTGATTTTTATAATTTCTTACATAGATGATAACAAAGAAATGAAACGAAACCACAATGAAGTTTGCCCTAAAAATCTATCATACTATTATTCTTTTTTTTTAATTTTTAAAATAAAGAAGTAAACTACTGAAGGGCGAATGATAATGAAGTCGTACCATAGTTCTTCGTCCGGTACCATCTCAATCGGATTTAGTTACACAATTAGGGTATTAACATTTAAACATGAACTTTGTGCTCACCGGTCGCGCGGTTTAACTAGAAATTTATAGTTACTAACACGTACTATGAAACCGATTATTATTTTCCCGAATAGTTTCGTTTAAATCGAAACGTCCCTATTGCTATTCCTGTAATTTATGAACAAATTTTCCCTTCACACAATAGAAGCTTACGCGAGGGCTCGCCGCGTGGGTCGCCGCGACACAGTGTTCGGTCGTGTGCCGTGCGTCGCGGACGGTCGTCGGTCGTCTGCCGCGGGCGGGCGGTGCTGCGGCTCCGTCGGTCCCGTGTCTGTGCCCCGGGGGCGCGCTACGCGGACGCTCTCAGTACTGGGCACAGCGCGCGCGGAACCCTCCCTGGTACGTGGAGTCCTGGGACAGCAACCCGTCCGGCTGCGACGGGCAGTCCGGCGCGGAGGACTCCTGGCTGAAGTCCGGCTGCGAAGCGCCCTGCGACAGTGACAGCGGCGGCTGCTGGGACAGCGGCTCCTGTGAGAGGCGCGGCGGCCGGCGGCGGGAGCGCGTCGCGTCCGGCGGGGCGCGCTGCTGCGGACGGTGAGCGGCGAAGGCTGCCGGCGGGACGGGAGCGTGGAGCGACGCCGCGTGCTCGTGGCCGACGTAGGCGAGCGGGTCACGAGGAGGACGGGCGCGGTCGTACACGGACCCCGGGACCATCGCCTCGCGAGCGTCGAACATCGACGTCGACATGAAGTGCGAGCCAGGATTCTGAGCGTTCACCAATTTCTTCGGCTTTGCGAACTGTATCGCCGACTCTTTCAGATTAGACAAAGGCCCCTCGGTTAGCACGCGTCGCTCCTTGTAGAAGGCTAGCAGGTGGTTCCACAGCGGCTGTTTGCTGAGAACCTTCGGATTTCCGACCACAATTAAGCCGTATTTGGCGCGTGTTAACGCCACGTTCAAACGACGCGGATCGCTCAAAAACCCGATTCCTTGATGTTCGTTGGACCGGACGCATGACATTATTATGATATCTTTTTCCCGGCCCTGGAAAGCGTCCACACTGGCGACTTCAATCTCTTGATATAACTTAGCGTGCAGACTGCCTTGATACTGCATGTGCTGTACGAGGTATGATCTTTGACCCTCGTATGGAGTGATGATACCGATTTGTTCCGGACGTACACCAGCTTTCAAGAAGCGAGTCGTCAACTTTTCAACATTTGCAGCTTCTGTTCGATTTAGGTACGATGTTCCTGATCCAGCTATTTCCTCTTGACCCTGAGTGACGTAAAAGAACATAGGCCTATCGGGTCTTGGCCATGGGAAATCGATTTTGTGCAATCGCCTCTCCTCCGCACTAACGCCATTTTGAAGCGATCCTTCGTAAAAGAAATCTGATGGAAAGCGGGAGAGCTCTGGGTGCATACGATATTGCACTTCTAGGCGGAAGGGGCGAATGCCTAGAACTACGAGTCGTTCGAAAAGACTCTGACTGAGACCGGCTTTTGCGGCTTTTTTGCACATAACCACGGGACCCAACTGACAATGGTCACCGACGAGGATTAATTGCCTCGCTCCAAGTACTACGGGCACCATACACTCAGGTTCCGTAGACTGCATGCCTTCATCGATGAGGATGGATTGGAACCTCATCCGTGCAACCCTGGGATCGCCAGCACCGACGCAGGTAGTACATACAACATCGGCCGCGTCAAGCAATCGTCTCTCGGCCGCTCTACGAAGCGCACGGTACCTCCTCTCATCAGCGGCCGACAATTCACCAGCCTCCTCCTTCAGCCTAGTTAACTTGCGAAGTTCACTATCAGCGGAGCCTAAAGCACGTGCTTGTTCGTGTAAGGCCAAGAAGGAAACTGAAGATTCCATAGCCTCCCTGGATTTTGCACAGAGACGAACTACTTTCAGTCCGGTTCGGTGTATTTTCTCAGTCAGTTGGTCTACGGCGGTGTTGGACGGAGCGCATACTAGTACAGGGCCACCGTTTTGGCGTACGAGCTGGTATACAATGGTCGCAGATGTAACGGTTTTCCCAGTACCTGGAGGTCCTTGGATCAGAGACAATGGACGTTGGAGTGCGTGCTTCACTGCATACACCTAAACAAAAATAATTTATGTCTAAATTATTGTTCCAAAATATTATTAATCGTATTCCTTTTCAATATGCAGTATGTCATAATAGATTATGGACGATAATTAATATTTATTTATATATATCAAACAAATTTACCTGGGATCTGTTAAGATCGGGTAAGTTCGGAGCGCTGAAGTGTTTCGGCAAGTGTACGCGGAACAATACCTCTTCTACCTCATGACCTAATAAGCGACGATAGATGTACCCAGAAACTGAGGAATCGTCTACTGCAAACTTACGTAGAGCGAGTTGCATTCTGTAAATTGAAAAATGATCATTGATTAACAAAATTAGAGATGTTGGAAATATTTATAAGTTTTATAGGACTGAATAAATCATTATTCTAAATGGAATTTGCTCCTCATTGTGACTTATACTAAAATTATAATTTATTTTTATAAAAGAATTACCTCTGATTCCTTTCTAAATAAAATCAGAATATAATATTTGAATAAAAGTATACTAATATAAATCTTCATTTTCAATATTCACATTTCAATACTTATATTTGTGGCTTAAAATTGCATGAGCAAATATATTTATTTATTTATATAAGGACAAATTACAAAACATGCACCATTCATAAGTTTTAAAATAAAGGTAATTATATTTTTAGCTAAGTGTTGTTTCAGTTAAAAGTTATCACGGCATGGAAAAGGACAGTATTTTCTATTAACCTAACACAACTTTTTTTTTCTACTTAAATTATACGAAAGGGGAAACAAAAAATACTACCAATAATAATACAATATAAAATGTAAATTACAAAAGACAATAACAAATTACCAACTTATTAATAAGTATTTAAAAAATTAAAAATAAATAAAATGAAACTTTTTTTTGGTTAACAAAAATTTTATAGCAAAAATAACAAACAAACAACTGTAATACAGAACCTAAATGACACAATATAAACATGATTGATGTTGAAAGACTGGAATGTGATCCTTATTTTCAACTTACAATTAATAATTTATACTGGGCGATTTAAAACTAGCTATAACTTTGCTTTTAAATTTTGGCAGACTGTCTGAGAAAATGTCGATATCAATTTCTTGATTTTTTATAAGTAGGTTATACTGTCTAGGTGCCGACTCATGATTCTGTCCTAAATTCGTTTTTGAGCGTGGAATCGAAAAAGGAACATATTTACTCGCACGGGGAAACCTTATATTGTTATTAATAGCAGATAAAAAAAAATCTATATGGTATAAGCTACCTGTCAAACGATGTACTCTTCCATATAAAATCAACAACAAAGTTGGAAGTGCATTCAAGGGGTGCTCCGGCCCCACTCTTCAGTTCTAAACCGACGTCATCGCCATAATTATCAGGAACTTTAATGACATGACCCACACCAGACCATGCTTTATGCAGCTCGCCAACATATCTATAAATATAAAGACAATATATTTAGTAAGACTTTTGACAACATTGAGTTTCATTATAAACATATCGTTGAGGATAATGCAAATCCACGTAACTACAATTGGATAATTCCGCGTATTTACTATCAGAAGAAAGTTTAAGCTGAAATAATTTGTAAATAAACAGTATTTTTCACAATTAATAACAAATTAAACACTAAATAATTACTATCATATATTTGCACTGTCCCCGATGATATGTATAAAGTGTTATCATCACTAGTGCTGGATTTATCCTAGTTGAAAACAGAATTTTACTAATTAAACTCTGCACTAGATATAATAAAGTACCACTTGAATACCATACTTCATACACTCTATATATATAGCATTAGTATTACAAATGTGAAAGTAAGTTAATTGTTTGATGATGTCATCACACCTAACTACAAACATACTGCATATTATATCCAGCTACAAAGATTATGTAGCCAAAGAAACTGCTAGAAATATATTAAAAAATTAAAGTAAATTTATTAACTAATAAAATTACGACCATAACCTAGCATATCTATAAATTAACTTCTGATAAGGTTTTAATCACATCATTGTAATAAATGGGATGAGGTCATGTATAAATAACAGTAATGGAAACAATTTACTTACATAACTTGTTGATTTAACAAAATAAACTATTTACCTCAATCTCAGTTCGTCTCCATGCATAAGTTTCATGTCACTATCTGTCTTGGCGAGAGTGAAATATGCAATGGTTTTCTTATTGAGACCCACATCCCAACGCACTTCAATGCCTTCCTGGGTTTGAGACTCTTTGAGCCTCTTGTCGTAATCAGCTTCTAGTTTAACGAGAGGGCCAAATATATTCTGATATTGATATCCATCCTCATATCTACAAAAAACCATGAAACTTTAACTAAATTTCACTGACAAGAAATAATCTAATGCTATTTATTATATATTATTCTAATTACATATTTGCTTAATAGTTCATACTTATTGTGGACAAATTGAAAAGTTTAAACAATAGTAAGAAATATAAGAATTATGTTATAGTTTATATCAATAAATAACCTCAGGAGTACTTGATGGGGCTCTTCATCTACACCAGGCTTTTCTAAATCTTGGAAAGTAGCATCAACATTATCACGCCATAGTTCTTCAAGACGTCCAATTTGTTGAGGAGTCACCTGCAAGAATTAATATTTTTTTTTTTTATTACTATATTACACAACTTACAAATTGTCTTATTATATAGTATATTATGTATTAATTAAAATAACTCATGAAAATAAATATTTTTAAGAGGTTTCTTTGAACAAAAAGGTACATTAAATCTTACTCTTTATTCAGAAATAACTTACTTGTCTTGCCCTCATTTGTTCAGCTTCCGAAGGTACCTTTACAAGCCAAGACAGAAATGCACGGTCAGCTGTAAATATGATAATGAAGAATTATATAAAATAAATTAAAATGTCTGTCAGTCACTTAGTAAATGTTATAATAATATACAACTTACAAATAAGTGGTTTCCATTGCTCTTGATCCCAGTTCATATCCTTGAGAGAGCTTTGGGCGGCACATGGCTGTCTGCAATTCAAATATTTGTCTGAACAATTACAATTACCTATATAAAAAGAAATTTACATATGAGAAGTAAAACTATGGAGAGACAGTGCTAAGAGTATTAAAAGGATATCTTGATAGATAAGAATACTATTTTAATATTATTATAACAAGAAAAGTTGAAATTATGTTTGTATAGATTTAATATACTGACCGGCACAGAAGGACAACAACTGAGTCGGCTTTTGCTGGTATAAAACCGAGAACAAAAACATTACGAGCCCCACATGAATAACATTCCAATAATGTTTCTCCCAATGGACCATCTCTATGAAGTGCTGCTTCTTTATGTTTAGCTCTCACTAGATGATTAATGATGTGAGATCCAGAGGTGTTTCCACGGCCATTGCAAAACCTAGATTACAATAGAAAACTATACTGTCTTTCATATTATATGCAATATTTCATAATAATGTTTTACATATGATGTTTCTCATAACTTGGTGCACACATTCTTAGAATATTTGATTGTAGTAATAATTACAATTGATATTCTAAGTTTTATAGTAGTTTGACAAAAAAATATATTTAGACAATAATAACCACTTACCACTTGTTGCAGATGTTGCACATAACAACTGTGGCGGGATCGTGAATGCCACAATACTTGCAAGCATGTTCTGGCAGTTCCTTGCTACTATACAAAGCTTCATCCTCCTCTTCGAACTGCAGTTCCGCGATTGCATTAGCTACACTTGATACTTTCGAATGAAGGTCTCCACGACCGAGTCCATTAATCTAAAAACAAGAGGAAAATTAAGTAAATACATCTAGGTATACTATATTTCTAATTAGGTTATGCAAATATATTATCAACGTCAACTAACTTGGTTGGATGAAGTTATTCCATGATCGTGTTGTGATGCTTGTGTTTGGCTCTGAGATGGTAATGTAAAGTCTGTAAATTCAAACTCAGATCCCTGTGTGTCAGCACCGATTAGATCTGCTTCTTCGGTTTCTAAGAATGTGAGTGTTTGAGAACTTGGGCCATACGCGTCGACACTCATCTTAACGAAATATAGTTATGTTGCACAAAACAATGAAAATAGGTCATATAGGTAAAAATACTGCACATTTAAAGTTAATCCCATAACAATTGCACACTAGTTGCACAACTTGTTAAAAGTGATGTTGATGATCAAGAAAATTCGCCATGATAGCACACAGCACATGTTTTGTTTCCGTTTACATTGCTAATATTCATTGGCAGCTTTAAAACATGAAATCTTTGAACACCAATTAAAATTTTGTTGTCAATAATTCTACCAATAAAATGAAAGGAGAGTAGAATCCATAGACAATTTACTTTTTAAAGCGATGACCTCTGTCAAATTTGGTAAATGACAAACAGTAGTTACTAGTTAATGCTGACATCTTTGTAAATCGTTTATTTGTTACCAACGGAAGTATTTGATAAAACAATGTCAGAAAAAATGTATTCCATACATATATCATTGAAGAGAGAATTTTATGTTAATATATTTTCATGTATGTAATGAAGATGTTTTTTATTGTTTTATTATCTATATTTTTAATAAATAAATTGTATTCTTTCAAAATGTTGTCTTCTAGAAGTTGGTTTACTATATAAGGCCATAATAACTCTGAAATTCTAAAGAAAATTAACTTAGCTAAAATATCTAAATTAATAAAAAAAACTAAGGTACAGTAGATTCACTTCACTCAATTCACTGTGTTGTTTTATAATTAAACTGAAGATTGTAAATCTTTTGTTCTCTATTCCTCTTAAAATGAAGTTCGCAGAAATTATGATTTCGGTAGGAGCAAAACAGTCAGTGTTTATGTTACTGTTTTTAAATTTAAAAAGTTTCATGAATATAAAACCGAATAGTGTAAATACTAACTATGAGTTGGATTTTAATAAGATGTTTTATTATTACCATAAAAATCTTGTTTACAGTGGTTAAACGCAAAAGAAGTAACATAATTCAGCGATGTAGTATTTTAACTTATATAAGGAATTTAAATTTTATTATGTTAAAAATTTATACATATTATGAGCGTTACTCTATGTATAACTAACAATGATGAAATATTTTTTTTTTATAAAAAAATCCTATTTAACTTGAATAATATGTTCTAACCTATTAAGGATGTAGTTATTTCTAAGTTGTCAAGCTGAAGCTAATTAAGTGTGAATACTTAGTTAAGAATAGGGCTCTGATACGAAATTTGTTAAAGCACAATTATATCAGTTCTTTCATTGACTAATAAAATATATATTTAAAACAATTAGGACAAAAGAAGTAATATTATATAATAATAAAAGTAATATAAATTAAGATAAGGAGACTTGTAGAAGTTGGTAAAGTAAATGTTTCGAAAATAAGTAGGTAATGTGTATTGAATTTATTCAAAAAACGAGAAAAGTATATTTCGGTAACAAGCTGTCTTTTAAAAATTCTTATTATGTCTTGATTTTAATCTTCTCTTTTTGTAAACTGAAAACGTTTCTTTTAAGGTCAAATGTGCAATGCAGATGGTACACGTTTGAAGGTTGGGAATAAATAAAGTCAAACTACTTTTTGTTTTTATCTGTATTTTCATTGTCATTTTAGCAAAAAAAGTTGAAAATAATAAATCTTACTTATTAGGTATATCGAAAAAACGTTATGTAGGTATTGGAAAAGTACAATTAACGTTTTAATCTCAATAAAAAAAAAGGTATTTGTACTTTGTATACGCTACCACACATGAAATTTAGTTAATAAACATTTTCATTTATCACCATTATTTCACTTCAAAATTGAAATTAATAATTTAATTTTTTTGCTTTTTTTGAGAAAGATTATGTTTATGTTATAACATTTTGGATGACAATGACTATGATCATGAAATATATTTTTTCAATATTCCTGTAATGAGATATAATTTTAATCAATTAATAAGTACATATTAATAGACAAAAAACACATATTATTGTATTTAAAGTACAAGCGATAAGGTGCTGCCCATTTTATATTGGTAGTACTGGTAATATTTTTTGTTCAGATGATCGATTAATCTAAAATTATGTTCAGGAAATTTATCTGATTTGAAAATCAGGAAGAAACGATATTTGATAACAAGTTTTTTTATGAATATCATGGTTTACATTTCGTAATTGCTAGCTAAGTGAATTTCAGTGATACTGTTCTAATTAATGAAAAGGTGTATCGACCATCCATAAAATAAAACTCACCTTTTAGAATCTACATATATTCGAAAAATGAAGTCCTTTGAATAATCACAGGATATTACAATTATCCAAAAAAAAATTTTTTTTTAAGTATATTTTTTATATACGTTTTTTAAATGTGCACTTAGACAAACCTACTACCTTAAACGAATGCTTAAAAAAATAGGAAGAGTCTTCAGATTTGTGACAGTCACAAGTGCTGAAGCAATTTGGAAAAAAAGAGTTCCAGTATGCTCATGGTTCACCATTTTTGGTAGTACGACAATTGCGTAAAGTCTGTCTGTCATACCAAACCGGGATGAGAGTTCAACATAATGCAATGTTGTTTTATATCATAGTTTCAATTAAGCCAAGTTTTTAAAGGTATAGTAATTTTAATAGCAATCTATCAAAATTTGCTCTGTATGAAAGATCATTTGATTTCTAAGTTCCTTTAAAACATTTAAACTATTTCAGGTTTGTTATACACTGTACTTTGTAATTTTAGGTCCAAAACGACAAAAGTTGATCCGCTACATTTTAAAGGTAATAAAGCTATAAATCTATACTAATATTATAAAGCTGAAGAGTTTGTTTGTTTGTTTGTTTGAAAGCGCTAATCTTCGAAACTACTGTTTCGAATTGAATAATTCTTTTTGTGTTGGATAGTCCAGTTATCGAGGAAGGCTTTAGGCTATATAACATCACGCTATGACCAAAAGGAGCAAAGATATAGTGGTAAATGTGTAAAAAACGGGAGAAATTATTTCATCTTTGAAGCCTTCCGTTGCGTGCGCCGTGAAAACGGTTCAAGATACACAAAAAATATGTATGAAAGAATAATAGCTCTTTTTATGATCTAAAAAATACTCCGCGACAGTATATGTCTATCTTTTAAGATTAACTCACAAAGACCGTTTTTATGGTACCTAATTTGGTCGAAATAATTTGTTTAAGTTGTATCAACATAATAATATTAATCTTTATTCAAATAAACAAATAAACATGTTGTTGGTTAAGAGTACTTCATTGTGAATAAAAAAAACATAGGTTTTATCCTGAAAATTCTACGGGAACTCGACCATTCCGAAAACCCCACAAGAACGGGAACTATGTGGGAAGAACCAAAAATCTGCCGTAAGTCACTATTCCACGCGGACGGAGTCGCGGCAAAACCTAGTAATATACAGGGTGACTGGTGAATTACTATCAATATTTAAGGAGGATACTCGGTACATGATTCTCATTCGAATTATGTAAAAAAAATAGGTACTTAATTTTTGACAAAATTTCCGTATAAATAAATAAAGTGTTGACACGTTCCAAGTGTTCCAAGCGTGGACGTGTGCGGCGGCGTGCTGATACAACACTACGCCGCCGCCGCGTCTGTGTGAGTGTATGTGTATACCTAATCTGTAGGGTGTTCATACGATGCGTAATTAATTACATAACTTTTGGTTAACTTTACTTAGAAGTTTATTAATATTTATGTTATATTAATTTTTATTTTGTCATATATGATCGTCACAAATCACGTCCTCAAATATCGATAGTAATTCACCAGTCACCCTGTATAAGATAAGTATGTGAGAACTTTATTAGGTAGCATTATACTTTAAATATTTATACCTGCGAAGCTGATAACTACAATAATTCACTGTTCATCCTTCAGGAATGTTTTATGGTTAATAGAAAAGCGATTAAAACCTAAGCAAGTCCACCTACTTAATTTGTTTTTCAATGGGCATATTCGTGTTGAAAACTATTGATTTTTTTGAATGTGTTAAAGGACGACCTATACTTACGGTAAATATAATGTGACGGATTGTTGGACTACTCTATTCGTTATTTAGAATTTTAAACAGTAGGTACTTTTAGCAAACTGTGATTTAATAGATTAATAAATACTTAGCTATAAAATATACGATTTAGAACTCCAAAACAAGACTTATATTTTGTGACATTAAAAGTTCTGTAAGTTTGTAAAAAAAAAATGTTATTTTAAAAATACTTAAAAACATCAAAATATAATTTCCATATATTCCCGCTCCAAATAACGTTGTTAAATCGAATTGCTATGATATTTTTAACTTTGGGTTAGATTAAAATTCCGTGCCCTTTTAAAAGAAACGTACCAATTGCTGCTTTAGTAAGTAATAGTGATAGGCAATATTCTTTAGTTCAATAATTAAGTACCTAACTAATTGGTAAATCTGTAAATTACCATTGTTGAACCAGTTAATTAAAATAAGATATTGTCAACGTCTTTGATTTGTTTCCAATGAAATAATGTTATTTCCTTTTTTCCTCTTGCTTTTACTAGGGCATTGGCATTAATCTAGACGATTGGTTATTTTGGTATCGTCCAGACTGGCACAAATTTTATATACAGGGTGTTTAGTAATATTTTTAATTTCCGTTCCTTATAAAAATTAAAATAGAATAGTTAAATTATAAAAAGCTTTGCTTCGCTTTTATTTTTATATATAAATAACTTAAAGTAATATTTTTCAATTGTTAACAATTTTAAGTATTTTTTAATGTGCAATAATTGTTTTAAAACTTCCTTAAAGTTTATGGAGTCATTGCTACATTTTACTAACATTTTAAAGATTTTATTCCTCTGCAATTCCCGGTAAAATACTTAAATGCGTTTTTTTTTATTTTGCGAACATTCCAAAGAGCATACAGTGAGGATAAAAAGGTATTTTGTCCTTGAAGATTTATTTAACTTCAATGTTAATATAACCATTTGGCTGGCGGTGACGGTTATGTGACTTATAAATTGTTTTATCTTCTTTTATTCATAACATTACTAGTTTTTGACTT